TCTGTTCCCCTGCTAGGATCCTTCATTAGATTCATAAGCTTCTGTTTACCCCGTCTATTTGCCTATTGGTCTATGGATGATACACACTGCTGTGTTGAAGCTTAGTACCTAGCCTCTTCCTTAGAGCCCTCCAAAAGTGGCTCGCAAACCACACATTATGACCTTGTGCAAATGATTTTGACACTCCTTGGAAATGCACAATTTCCTAAAAAATAGATGTGCTACATGGTTGGCACATATATTCTTCCTGCAAGGAAAAAATGAGCCATCTTTGGCAATTGATCAACTACGACAAGGACAGAATTATTACCTCTCTGAGTCTTATGAAGCTCCAAATCAAAATCCATGCAAAAATGTTCTTAAGGCATTGTAGGCTTATTTATGGCATATACAATCCAGTATTTTGGGCTTGACCCTTCACCAACTGACAGACATTGCACCTCTTGACATATTGGCAGCATCTCAGTTAAGCCTAAGCCAAAAATACTTTGACTTCTACCAAAACAACCATCCTATCTCGCCCAGAGTGTCCCCCAGGCCTCCCGCATGAAATTTTTCCATCACCTTCTCATGAAAATAGCCTTAAGGAACGCACAAATGCAACCCAAAGAAGAGAGAACCTCTCATAGTGATTTCTGATTGCCTTTGCACACTATAAATAGCCCCAAAATATGGATCAGCCTTATAGTGCTCCTTCACTTGCTCGAATCCTAAAACTCCTACTGACATAGTATTCAGAAGAGTAGTCCTCTGACTTAGAGCATCAGCCACAAGATTCTGAGCCCCTGACTTATGTTTGATTACAAAAGTATATTCTTGAAAAATTGTCCATTTTTGCATGCCTGTGATTCAATTTCTTTAGAAAATTTAAATACCTCACCGCTTCATGGTCTGAATATAGGACAAACTCCCTTTTAATCAATTAATAACACCAATGATGCAAAGCTTGGACAATGGCATAGCATTCGATGACAAAGGTGGAATAATGCTTCTTGCCTTCTCTCAACTTCTCACTTTGTCTAACCCGATTGGCTAAGGAATGTACTAATACCAACTTGTGAAGCATTGTATTGAACCTGGAAACTTTTCAAATTCAGGCAAGAGGCAGCACTAGCGCTTCAGTAATCATTTTCTTTACTAGATTGAAACATTCTCTGCAGCCTTGGTCCACCAAACTTCCCATTTTTTTGCGTTGTTAACTGTTGTATTAAAAAAGTATAGAGAGTACACAAGTGGTGCAGAGGAAGACCACAGGCCAGGCCTCACGCTAAAAAAATAGACTCCCAGAATGGAAATCGTATACAAAAAATGTTTGGGCCTAGTACCAAAAACCCAAAGGGAAAAGGAAACTGAAAACCAAAAGTGGACTAGAACACCTTCCCTATACAAGGGTAAAAGAAACAGCAAAAGATTCCCAAAAACCAGGCAATCAAGGTCCCAAGCTACTGGATGATGCTCCATCTTTAGCCAGTTGGTCCGCCAGAGCGTTGGCTTCTTGCCAAGTATGCCTCCATAAGGTGGCCATATCCTTGCAAATATGAGTAACCTCATTAAAAATCGAAGCCAAATACCAGGGGGCCAGAGCTCACGGCCCAGGTGATTATGTTTTTTGCGTCTCCCTCCACTGTAAGTGGTTGAGGCCATGTGAGATTGAAAAGCTTAAGACCGTTAAGTAGAGTCATAGACTCAGCGAATTGGGATACAGCAGGGCCAATGTTCTTGGAGAAGGAAGCAAGAGTGTTGCCAAGGTGATCTTGACGATCCACCCACTCCAGCCGAACCAAGGTTGGCCAAGGAGCAGCCATCAAAGTTAAGCTTTGTGTGGCCCTTCGAGGGGGATGGACCAGTTTCTAGATCTTGGAAATCGAGACGATTGCGTCCAGAGAATTTCCTTCCACCGGTGTAGGAAAGTTGTGGTTGAGACTCCTCTAAAAGTCTTGTGGTTGGATTCCAAAAAGCGACTTTCGAGGTGATTTTGTAGAAAAGGACAGGAGCATCGCGTTTGATCCCTTGGAATATCCTCGAGTTCCTCTCCGTCCAAATCACGCAGATAGTGGTTACGACGGAAGTTTTCTAGTGAAGCCTTGCCAACAGAAGGCCACAAATTGTCCCTAGAAAAATTAAAAAGAGCTCATGAGCTAGTCTACATTGAAAGAGGTGAGGGTTGGACTCTTCCTCGTTGATGCACATCACACATCGATTGGGGATGGGGATTCCCTTCCATTGTAGTTGATCCACGTGAGGGTCTTTTCAGAACAGCGATCCAATTGAAGGCTTGCACTTTCGGAGGTGCGATGGACGACCAAACCTGTGCTAGGGGGTCCACAGCATGCTGTCAGGCCTTGAAAGGGCTAGGAAGTTTGAACTCAGCAAAGACGACAAGGAGAGGAAGTTGTCAGTTTCGACATCTGTAAGACGACGTCTAAAAGATGGGTTCCATACTCTAATGTTATCCAATAGAGGCAACTCGTCCGCAATTGTAGATGACTTGTTGGTTGCTAGGGTGAAGAGGGAGGGGAAGAGGCCCCTGAAAGGGGTGTGTCCTTGCCAAAGGTCCGACTAAAAGCGGATGGCTTGGAGCCTCTCGAAATGGAGAGAGTGTTGAGTAAATGGGGCAGTGATCAGAAGTCGGTTTGGGTAGGGTCAGGGCATGGGAAACCAGGAAAGACCTCATCCCAGCTTGTAGAAAAGAGGAATCTGTCAAGTTTGGAGAGAGTGGGCTGAGAGGAGCGATCGGACCAAGTGTATTGGTTACCTCGGAGGGGAATATCGATGACTTCATTACACGAGATAAAATCCGAGAAGTCCATCAACCCTTGGGAAGGCAATGGCTGGTTGATGCCGATGTTGATGAGGTATTCACTAGAGAGGGCTTGACTTGGGGCCAGGTTCGTGAGGCTGCTGGGACATCAATACCCCTTGTGCGTACCACTCGGCCTCAATCTCAAAGCCAAAGGAATGGGAAGGAGAAGGCCCAACAAGGGAAGGCAATGGCAAAGAAGAGGAAGAGGGTGATGACATCAGGAGAGGATGATGAAGAGGCAGAAGTAGATTCAGAGGAGATGAGGGATGATGCTCAATATGTTGAGGGGGGTGATGACTCTGATGATGATGGTATGGCATCATCATCTTCAAATGCTCCAGAGGATCCACTTGAACACCTCGCGTGGTGATGCGGCTGATTCCATAGAGTTGTTTGGTTGATGACTTGATGTATTTGTTTTTTGTTTTTGCCTTGTTGACCTTGTGCATTGTTTCTAGTCTAGACATATAGTTTCCTACAATGACATTTGGGATTTTAAGCATTTTAATGTCTTACAATCTCTTCGAGACTTGTATTTGTAAATCTCTTATGTGATTGTAATATTATGTTTTTATTTGCTTCACGAGGAGTTTGGGGCTCTAAAATTGCCCTAAAGCTCCCTAAGGCTTAAAACCTGCCCAAAGAACTCCTTTGGTTTCTTTGTATTGGGGGATGGGAAGGGGGGGGTTGAAATTTTGGTGAACCTGATCCTGAGCAGGTGCCTAGTTGGCCAGGCCCCCAAAATGCCTAGGCGGCACCTGTGCTTTCTTGAACATTTTGTGCCTTCCTTCTCTTCCACATCCCCTAGCTGCCATGGTGGATCAGTAAGCCTGCTCTGATACCACTTCAACGCCGTGAAAAACAAAGAGAGAAAGAGACTAGGACAGAGAAATTTCAGCCACAAGAAAAAAGAAAAAAAACAAATCAATCACATCACATGTAGAAAACATGAGAGGGAACTAGTAAGTTTTGCATGCCTTCTCCAAGGGAAGCAAGCTTTATTTTATTTTATTTGATTTATTTATTTATTTTTGTCTTTCAATTAGAGTCTGAAAATATTTCAAGTCTTCCTGTAAAGCCACTCACTTCTCCTTTTTTTACATATAAAAATAAATAGCTAAAACCTTAGTCTGCTACCCCATGTGTGACTTCTGTTCTCATCTTTATCTCCTCTTTCCTTGATTTGCAAGTCTCCCATCTTTTTCTCCTTCTAATCACACACCTCTTAACCAAATCCCAATAAAAATAGGAACCCCACATATTACCCAAATCAAATATATTTCGCCAACTTCATAGAGACCCTTTAGAAACAAATAATGACATCTCAACCCCCATTATTAAACAAATAAGAAAGTACTTGAATGAGAAAAATGTCAAGTCTGGAAAAATAATCTCACCTTGGCTGCATCATCAGTGGAGTGGCTTGTCATCATTTTAGGCTTGAAAAAATGTGCAAGTAACTATGCTGAAAAGTGATTTATCCAGTTAGTTCACAGCATCTGATAATCTGGGAAAATCAGCAGTTGACCAACAGTTGGAACAACTCGGAACCGGTTGGTGACCAGTCCAAGTCCCTCTCTAAATCGGGAATCACGCCAAATCACCCAAAAATCATACTAAATAATGTTTTAATGTAACAAAAATGTTGCCTTTAGAATGGTTTTGAGGATCTTGAACCTCGTTTACATTTTTTTTAAAACAAATGGCATTTGTTGGCGGGCCGACTTGCAAATTCAGCTAGTTCACCTTGGTACCTGTGATTGACCTGTTCAATTTGCCAGTCCAATTCTTTTAACACTGGTTTCACCGTTGCAAAATGCACCAATTAGGAATGGCTAGACATCAACTTTTCAATCTCATGTGTGTTCTTATATTCTCATGCAGGTCTAGATTTGTACTGAAATATAATGTTTGTAGATAACTGGTTTTTATTTCAAGTAAACGGTCGTAAATAACTGTTTTTTATTTCGCTACACTAAATAACTGCTAATTCTGTTTGCATGTGCTCCTTTTTTGAGATATGAGTGTTTTTTGCTTCTTTTTTTTTTAATTGTAGTTTTTTCTAATGATTTTCGCAATTGGGAATATCACACACACACACACACACACATATATATATATATATATATATATATATATATATCAGTAATTTTGTGTATTATATAACATGAATCTCAGATAACTCTTTGATTCACAGGATGGCTTCAGTAATTTCAAAAATGGGATTTGTATTTTCAGAGCAGGGCTTCCCAAAGGTGTTCATTCCTATTTGCATCTCAATCAGCATATGCTGTAGTGGGATCGGATTCTTTTATCAGGTGGCTTCCTTCTCCTATCATTTAATGCTTGCTACATCATTTTACGAACAAAGTGATCCCTCTGCAGCTTATCATGGCTGACTTATATTCTTACTTTTTATGATCTTGATTTAATCTTACACCCTAGAGAGAAGCTTGACTTTGTAATTTCTTAACTTTCAGAACACTGTTTGTGTTTACTGAAAAGAGACAGTGTTCTACAATTTTATGGTATGGATACAATTTCATTCTAAGAGAGCTTAGTGTATACTCAATTCTGTGCAGGATTAGGTGTTCATGGGCTCGATTTAAATATAAGTTCTATGGCTCAGTTTTTGTATAAATTTGATATCTGGAATCCCATCCAATTAATATATCCAGGGGTTTTAAGCTGAAAGCTTTCTATGAATATTAAGTTTCATCCTCAATGGTATCAGAAAATTATCTACAAAACTACATTGGTGTACCCCCTGGTTCACAGAAATGTTCATCATGGTTCATAAACAAAAAGGCTGTATTAGTCATCCAGTGGTATTTTGGCAACGTCCACCTACCAATCCACAATACTGGGCTAGGATTTGCTTTTTCATGATCTTTCTGTTTTGTGTTTGATATGAACAACTTGAGAGCCATCTGTTTGACCACAAGAAGAGTGAGCCCTTTCCTGAGGCTACCATTTAGCCCGCTACTTTTGTACGAGCGAAGTTATGTGGGATTATATGGCCATGAGAGGTAACAATTGAAGAGATCTAGCCCATGAATGATATACTCACTTTACTAGCTTATGGTCCATCTATAACTGCATGGTGGCATACTTTCATTCTGACCTGCTGTATTTACCACAAAGTAAGCCAAGGAACTTCATATAAAGGAATATCATTTGGATTTGTTGTTGATATAGCACCTCCATGCAGATATTCTTGTGGTCAAGGGATAGTTTTGCACACAGATAAACTCTGAATAGATTAGCAATACTGCTTCATACCTCCTATGTAGTTAGACATACAAGAAATATATTGGGAGACCTCTTCTACTTCCATTTTGATGAGATGTGAAGCACATGATGCATGCACCCAGTTCCTTTACATGTAGGCTAATAGCCGTTTTTGTTGTGCCAACTGTCAGAGGTGAAAACAACATTTTTTATCGGCATATTATTATGTCATACCCACATAGCCCATCCACATAGGTTGACTCACATAAACAATTCCACTTTACTGACATATAAATAATCCATGTAAAACGACAGTGTGTGGATTCTCAGCTGGAGAACTGACAACCAATAGGTGGAGATTCTTTTGTAGATTGGCATGTTGGAATTCTGAGTCTTCTGACGAAGATATGCATTAGCTAGGATAGACCACTAGAGGACTGTCACTTGACCAACCATATTCCTAGAAGTATGTTTATTCTGCTGTCAACTACTCATTTTGACCCCTTCATGTCATCTCTCATGTATGGATTGTTTTTCTCCATATTTGAGATCCACCCAATTGTGGATTGGGCTGTCCATTGGACTGTCACTAACCAACCATATTCCCAGAAGTATATTTATTCTGCTGCCAACTATTCATTTTGACCCCTTCATGTCATCTTTCATAATATGGATCGTTTTCCGTCTTTTAGATCCACCCAATTGTGGATTGGGCTGTCCATAGGGGATTTACAGTTAGATCATTGCATGTATCTATCTCAGAGGGAGACTTTTTAGACATCTTCCAACACAAATTGTTTGTACTTGCTTTTTGATAACCACAAGCGTTTAAATTCCTAGTACTCCTCCATCTTTTGACCTAAATATCTGATCCCAAGCAATCCAATTAGCTTCTAGTTTATCTAGTGAGTTAGACAAGAAGATATTGCTAAAGAATACAACCCAGTTATGTTTGAATAGACACTTTCTTAGGGAGAACCAACATTAGGTAGAACAGAATGCAACAACGAGCATGATCTTTAACTGCATGTCTCCATCCTATTAAAGGATTTGTTCTTTCCATGCATCAATCATAGCCATCATCTCAAGTAGTTGGTTCCTCAAGTCCCTTCTTCATTGACCAGATAATAAGTTTGTCCCATACGAGAAGCCAGAAGTGGATATAGTTGGAATTTAAGCAATCTTAAGCTTTAAGCCGTAAATGGTCTTTCCAAAATGGAAGCATCTCTTATTAACTTTTTGATCCAAGCCATTCTCATGGTGTTCCATGAAGTTTCACATATTCTTTAGGCTCTGGTTTACACTTTGTTGTTTATAACCTTAAATGAAAATCAGGTCTTTTGTGCACTGGAGATGACAGTGAGGATCATGCTCTCAGGATGCATATGGCATGTATCCGCTAGTAATAGGTTACTTGTTAATTCTCTTCTCGACTCCTGCTTTGCATTATTACAAGGTAGGAGTTAAAATTGCCAGAATGTAGCCTCATGAGTTGCATTCTGCATTTCCTGGAGTTAGCCATTGTATGCTTTTCCAATTTCTCATAGAAGCCCAAGCGAAGTTCTGAGTCATGAAGGGATCTGAGTCTAGAGTATGGTTGAGCCTGCCAAGTTACAGTTAATGCTTTTAAGTGAGATGTTATACCATGTCTATATTATACAAATGAAGGCATCCTATCGAGAAAATGATCTACAATTCTAACAGTCTATACCCCATCCAGTTAACAATTAAAAAAAAAGAGGCTATGCCCGGTCAGTGTTCTTTATTTGTGTTTTCCTAATGCCGGTCAGTTTTCTACGTATCATGTAGTTATGATAGTTTCTAGTTTCTAAAATATGTTCAAGAATGGTAATTTGGAACCCAGAGTTTTTTGAAGAAATTGTTTACATGTTTTTGGAAAAAAATGAGTTCTTTATTAGTGTTTTCCTGTGAAAATATTTACAAAGTTCCGCAAGTTACCATTTGTGTTCAAGACCCAAGTTTTAGGTGATAGTGATGATTACCTTGAAATTCATCATTGTAAATTTCCTCGAATTTGCAAATCAGATAGCCTGGTGAAGTTCACTTTGCTTAACATTATTTTTGTGCTTGAGTATCATTTCTTGGAATGAGAATAACATAAAATTAATGTTTGTAATCAGACTCGAGGCTTAAAGCATGGAAGGGCAATTGTGGTTTCCACATGTGCAGCTGTAGCATCAATCCTGACAGGTGTGCTTGCTGGCATGCTTGCGCTGGGTGAACAACTGCCTGCTGCTCCATTGGCCCGTCTTTTCGTCTTGCTTGGCTGGTAAGTTAGTATCCATTTCTCTAAACATATACATTTCATTGTTGTGGCAGAGTTCCATGCTTGCGTGAGTCCCTTCTCTTCTTTAAAATAAATGTTTACTTTTCTTCTTTTCCTCCTTTTGGTACATGTAAAATGACCTAACCCCCCCACTTGGATTGCTATTTTTGAATGCAAAATCTTTGCTTGTTTAGACACACCAAACATTTGAAAGAGATATGAGGTGGCTCCAAAATTTCTGGTATGACATAACCAAATGTCTTTTTAAGAGTGAACCAGATGTTGAACCAGACGTCTATCCTTTTCATTTCAAAGGGTATCGTGAACGCAATGATTTGAACATTGTTGAGATCTGCAAAAACCTTCTTCCCAACTTCTTGTGAAGAAATAGTGCATTATTCTTAAGTGATTATACCTGGAAAGAGAAATAGATTTCTGTTTTTCTACTCTGGGCTTAAGGCTGCAAGTGGGCCAGGGCGGCCTGGAGGGCCAGATCACAAGAAAAGGCCTATCAGGCAGGGCCTAATTTAGGGCCTTTAAAGTTGACTGGCAGTGCTGAGATCAGGGTTGCAAGGCTGCAAGGCTGCAAGGGCAGGGCACGGACTAGCTGGACCCGTTAGCACTCTTATTTTATATATTTATACTTACATAGTCCAACTTCCCACAACTCGAACACTGGTTTTATTGGTTATGGTGTTGAAGATTGCGACTGCATTCCATGTACTGACCTACACCCACCATGCACCCCCTTCCCCACCCCACCGCCCACCCCAACAAAAAAAAGCACGCCCTAATAAATATTTGACCCCCCTAAACAAGGAGAGCTTTGGAGGCTAGGGCTAGGTCAATGCCCCTCGTAATTGGTGAGGCTGGCCATGGGCCGGGTCCTGGTCCTGGTCAGCCTCAGCCAGGTCCACTTAGGTCCCTATTATGGTTTCTGTACAGGTTGTAACTCTGTTATGCGGAGCCCTTCCTCAGTATAAAGTTATCTTAATTATATTTATTTTTTTAGGTAGATCAGCAGTAAGAAGCAAATATGGGATATAATGTTGCTATGGTCAACAAATTACCAATCAAGCCCAAGCCCAATTCCTAATAATCTTAGTGTTCTAGTATCCACAATTTCCCAATACCCAATGTACTGAAGCCTGATTGTACAAGCCCTAGCTGTTCGTTCAACCTGGTATATGTATCCTACTGCTAATTCTAATCGCTTTATAGTTTGTAGCAAGGTAGTATTTCTATGATTCCATGATGAAGTTATTACTGGTTTTCTAGATAGGCATTTTTATTTTCCTTTTCTCGAGTACTTCACTTTCTCTATAAAATAAAGTCAGGGGTTAGATTTCTTCGGCAATCAATTGCTATTTGATCAAAACCCACTTTTATCATTTGTTGAGCAGGCTGCTTATCATGGCTGGGGTAATCCTACTTGTAAGTTCGCAGAAGCTCCTCTTTCTTGCTCCTCGGCCTTTGAGACAGTTTCTACATGGGGGCAGCGAAAGGAATTTCGGTATTAGAAGGTCCAATTCAGTTCGTCTCAGAGACCCAAGTCCTACTACCCTTGTTTCGATCAGCCCTCTCCACCACTTGAAAGCTTCTCCAGCCAAAGCAAAGACCTGATGTCATTGTTTCCTTTACTCTCTTAGGTGACATGCTAACACAGTCATTTGTTTACACTTCAGAGCAAACCAAATTGGTGTTGCCGTGTTCCAAATTACTATTGAGTGATCTTTTGTGAAAAGCTTGATGTTCTCTCTGGTTGACTTATCAAAGAGACTAGGATTATTTGGCATTTGAATGAAAACAGAAATTCTAAAAGAACTCGTTTCGTGGCTGTGCAGAGACACATCCGAAAGCAATAGAGATAGTGTAAAGCTGGACAAGTGAAGTGTAAACCAGCATCTAAAGTCGAAGAAGATCATACTTGGATTAGCAAGATTCTTTCGTCTTACTACGTAAATCTTCTGCAGTCCGGTTCGGAAATTCGCATTTGTTTGTAATTTTGTTTTTCTTTAACTATTATTTTATCCGTATTCAAGGATCTAGTGTTTCTTCATTTACTCTTACCTTTGATTGCCGTGCTTTATCACGGCATCGTTAGTATATCCATTTTCCTTCAACTGGGATGTGTATACATATCAAGCATAAACTGTGTTCAATCATACATATTCTGAGTGATCATATTGTTATGCTGTGCTCAGATTCCAGTGTGTACAACGTTATAAAAAAACAAGAGATTCCAGTATGCACAATAATGCAAGAACGCATGGTCATCATTTTGGAAGTTTCGCCTACTAGGCAGTTTTGAATATGAATAGTTTTCATTAACCAAGCATTTGTTCTATCTCACAGGGTTCAACAACGAGTTGTGATCCTCAGAATTGGTTATGTAAATTAGTCATTAGTAATTAAAATAAAGTAGCTTTCTTAAAAACATATTCGTGGAGGGGATCGTTCACCTACCGATCCCGATCAATATTGCTAAAAAAAAAAGAATTTGTTTTCAATCACCCAACCAGTATAGCCTTTGCCACTATGACGATTTGTTGCTTCCCAATGCAGCTCCTAATTGGCTGTTTATACCTGGCTGATGTAATATGACCAATTATCTCTTACATGTTCAACAAAATGACTGGTTTCTACTTAGAATTAACATTATGTTCACCAATTTATAATCTAGATTGGCGATTTTTGAACGCTAAAATAAAAAAGCTAGAAAATGCACCAATTTGTTAGTAATATGTTTTGAGATCCAACATTCAATCCACACTTTTATTTGGATTGGATCCATCTTTTCTTTGATAGTTTCCTACAATGAACCCGAAGTTTGTGAACCATTGCTGTCATCTTCTGAATTTCTTATTGCGTAGCCATCCAAAATTCTTGAAATCATTTCCATTGTGATGTTCATTTGATCCTCTTCAGTTTACATGATTTTACTTGTTTGATTATAGGGAAAAAAAAATTACTAGATCTGGCTTAGAAATCTTGGGTTTGTTGAAGAATACCACGTTCTTCAACCCAATCTGCCATTTGCTTGATTTCTCGTCATTTTCTAAACTAAATTTCATGAACCTATATTTGTTTTGAAGCTTATTGTGTCCTGTTCAGAAGCCCTGGTATGTTGCTTTGATTTGAGAAAAAAGCTTGAGAGAATTGGCTCCAAAATCTCGGGGCTGTTGAAGAATATAGTGTTCTTCAACGCGATCCGCCATTTGCTGGATTTCTCATCATTTTCTTAACTAAATTTCATGAAATTAGGTTCATTTTGAAGCTTATTGTCCTCTATGGAAGCTCCGGGTTTATTGCATCGAATCGAGCCAAACAATGGTTTATTGCTTCGAATTGAGCCAAACAATTGATACGTCTGGCTCCAAAATGCAGATATGTGGAAGAGCACTATCTATTTTGGAGACAATGTATGCACATTTTTTTGCTCAATTTTCTTTTGTTCGATTAATTTCGCTTCAAAGTAAAAAACAAAAAACCAAAAGGTTTACAATTGTATCTTTTTAAAATCCTCATTTTTTGGACTTCCTTGAGCCTTTTCCTTAACTCAGGCATGACTCTGACGAGTTTTTCGGACTCGCTTGAGTTGCAAACCTCGGCCCCATGTACCTTGGTTGAGACGAGACTCATAACACTGATAAGAGGAGTTGTACTGACATACACTGTTAGATGCTCATTTAGGTAAGGTTGAATAAGTATCAAAGCTTAAATGCTAGTAGTTAGTTTCTTATTTTGAATTAATTCAATTAATAAGTTGTTGTTGTAGCAAAGCTATTTGTTACAATAGTTTCCTTAAAAATTGCTAGCTGATTTTTAGGAAGATTTGAAAGTTGTAGAGGGCAAATAAAAGGTTGTACGCATATTGCAAAATCAATTAATGGAAAAATTCACTTCTTTCTTGCTATGAGGTTACCCTCCTGAAAGAGGGAATTTACTAGTTTTCCTTGTTATATTCTAAAAAAAACTGCTTGATTATTCTCATTTGGTATCGGAGCAAACCTTGAACCTATGGTTTGAATCTTGGCAGATGGAATTAGACAACACGAGGCCAGGAGACTTGAGATGGCGCTGAAACAAATCAAAGAGAACAATGAGTAGCACGATGAGGCAATCCAGGAAATTTGGCTGTTGGTGGCTGCCATCAACCTTAAATATGAAACATTGTCGGCTTTTCTAGCCAATCATCAATATGAAATGGAGGACTCAAATGTGGCTACACCACTGCAAATGATGATGGCTGCTGGAACAACCCCAACAAGGTATGGAAAAGTTGATTTCCAATGTTTGATGAAGAGGAAGCCTTGGGTGGGTGGGTAGATAGGGCAGAGTAGTTTTTTAAATATAACAACACCCCCGAAAGGCCAAACAGTAGCTCTGACCTCCATCCATCTTGAAAAGAAAGCACTCCAGTGGTACCAATGGTTCAAGAAGATCATCGGACTGATACCATGGAGATAGCTCGTCAAGCCTTTGTACATAAGGTTTGGGCCTAATCCCTTTAAAGATTTTGCTGGTGCGCTTTGCAAGCTAAAACAAACTTCTACTGTTAGTGCTTACTAAGAACAATTCAAGCAACTAGTAAACAGGACAATGGGACTGCTCAATGACTTCTATGTCAGCTCTTTTGTCAACAGACTTAGGGAAGACCTTCGGTCAGGAGTGCATATGTTTCGACCTACAAATGTCACGCAAGCTATTGGTTTGGCGTGACTACAAGAAGAGGACACTGATATCTTGAATCAGCGCCAATAGTTTTGAATGGTCAAAATTGATGCCCCACTAGTTAGCACCGGCATCCCAAAAGTGGCTGTCATACCAGCTGAACCACTAGTACAACGGGTCTTCCACCGATCAAACGATTCTCACTAGCTAAGATGAAAGAGCGAAGGGATCGGGGGGCTATGCTACAATTGTGACGAAAAGTATACCTCGGGCCACCACTGCAAAAGGCAGCAAATATACTTACTTGATGTCATAGACGCCAAAACTAGCCATGAAAGTGGTGATAAGACTGATATTGAGCAAGAAGAGGACCCCACTGACAACGAGAAGGACCCAATTCTTTCCGTGAATGCCATATCCGGGTCAACTTCAACCTAAACTATGAGAGTGTGGAGTTTCATCAAACGACAACAGATTGTTGTTCTTATAGATTCAAGAAGCACACACAATTTTCTAGACCTTGAAGTTCCCAAGATAACCGGTTGTCTAGTGCAAGCTGCCCCGCCCTTGGATGTATCCGTAGCTGACGGTGGCAAACTGATTAGCAACGCGATCTGCAAGGATCTCAAATAAGTGATGTAGGGCACCATTTTCCAGGCTGATGTTAGACGGCTACCATGCGGAAGATGTGATTTGATCTTGGGAGTACAGTGGCTGGTTATGTTTGGCCCTATAATATAGGAATTCTCACGACCACGGATAGAGTTTACCCTTGATGAAAAGAAACACGCCTTATGTGGGGCTTAGAATGGTGCAGTACGCCCTGTTGACCCATCTCGCATGGGTAAGCTCATTAGCAAGGGGGCAAAATGAGTGTTGGCTTAGCTTTTCTCGTTGGCTGCAACTGAAAATTAAAGCTTGTTGATCCAGAATTGTAGGAACTCTTGTCTGAGGATGAAGATATCTTTGCAGAACCTATAGGGCTACCATCAGAATGGACCCATGACCATCGGATTCCCCTACTTCTTGAGAACCAACCTGCAAATGTGCAGCCTTACCAGTACCCATATATGCAGAAGAATGAAATGGAAAAGCTTGTGCATAAAATGCTTGAAGTTGGTATTGTTCGACCTAGTACAAGCCCATAATCCTTGCCGATCTTAATAGTTGGAAAGAAGGATTGTTCCTGGCTTATGTGTATGACTATCGTGCCTTGAACTGACTCACCATCAAATATCGGTATCCAATTCCGATAGTGGATGAGCTCTTAGACAAGCTATATGGTGCTTGTTTTTTCTCCAAGTTAGATCTTAGGTCCGGCTACCACCAAATCCAAGTGCATGTAGATGTTGTGTACAAGACGGAGTTCCGCACTCACGAAGGACATTATGAGTTTCTGATGACGCTGTTTGGGTTGACAAATGCACCATCCACTTTCCAGGGCCTTATGAACGAGGTATTCGACCATATCTTCGCCAGTTCATTCTAGTATTTTTTTTATGACATTTTGATCTATAGCTCCTGCTCGTCAAACCACTTAATACATGTGAGTTGCACCCTTGATGTATTACAGGAACACAAACTATTCGTAAAGTGCTCCAAGTGACTGTCTGGACGTCGTGAGATCAATTATCTTGGCCATATTATTTCAAGTGATGGAGTGACAATTGATCCATCTAATATCGCCAACATGACTCAGTGACGTAAGCCAAAGATGCTCAAGACCTTACACGGGTCCCTTTGTTTGACTGGATATTATCAAATATTTGTGAGGGAATTATAAAAAAATCAACAAGCCGTTAACTGATATGCTAAAAAAGTATTCATTTATGTGGTCCCATGAGGCTGAATATGCCTTTGAAGCACTCAAAGTGGCCATGACCACCACATCAGTCCTCGCATTACCAGATTTCTCTAAAACCTTTGTGGTGGGGTGTGATGTATCCAGCATGAGTTTGAGAAGGGTGCTAATGCAAGAGGGACGACCCATAGCCTTCACAAGCAAAGCTCTTTCTGGATGCAACCTAAGCTTCTCTACCTATGAGAAGAAGATGTTAGCAGTTGTACATGCAGTCACCAAATGGAGACCATATTTGTTAGGCTGACATTTTAAGATCCATATAGATCATCATAGTTTGAAATTCATATTGGAACAATGGGTAGTCACTTTAGCTCAACAAAAATGACTCACAAAACTCATGGGATATGACTATGAGATTTTGTATCGAAAGGGTAGTAAAAACAAGGTTGTTAATGCATTATCTCGCCAAAAAGAAGATATCAATAATGCTACTATTTTGGCTATATCTTCTCGCCATCACCTTTTGTTTGAGAATGTTAAGCAGGGTTGGGCTGAAGACATGGAGCTGCATGGCATTATTACAGCCATCTCATGTGATCCTACTGCTCACTCGGGTTTCACTTGAACTTAGGGCGAGTTGCATTACAAGAGACGGCTCGTGCTAGGAACTAAGTCATCTCTGAAGTTTCAAGTGTTGTAAGAATTTCACTCTAACCCTGAAGGAGGACATTTGGGAGTGCATAAGACACAAAAGAGGGTCGCAACATCATTTTATTGGTGAGGAATGCAACACAAAGTGCGCAAGTT